TTGGTTGGTTGCTTGCTTGGGTGGCACCAAGAGACAGCGGTTGGTTGCAGTGCGTGTCGTATATACCATGGAACTGGTTGGGAAAGACACTGCATCTCCAATTGTCAGCCACAGACTTTGGACATTCATCTGTTTCTTTCATTTCACAAAGCGCTGTGAGCCATGAATGCCTTTGGGCTAAGCGGTCGTAGCAGTATAGTTGTAGGTAGCAGTACTAACGTAGTAGTAGCAGTAGCAGCAGTAGTAGCTGCAGTAGTAGTAGTAGTAGTCGTCGTGGTGGTGGTGGTGATGGTGGTAGTAGTAGTGGCAGCAGTGGTGGTAGTAGTGGTGTTGTTGTTGTAGGCGCAGCGCGATTTGGTGCGCGCATCATAAGTGAAAGCAATCCAGCCAAGTTACTGCATGATTGCGGAATTCTGAACCAGGCGCACGAATTGCAACTTGCAAGCCTCCGGGCTGTCTTCCAGGCGCACCGTCTAATGACTCAACCTGTCAACTATTCTGCATGTTCGTTTCCTTTCCCATCGTTCAGGACATCGTCTACGTCATCCAGCGCAACGGACGCAGTTGCTGCGCGTGTCCACCTTTTGCCTCCCATGGGCAATGTGAACACACGGTCTTTGCTGACAGCCTTGCATTACCACAGCGTCCAGCACTGCATTCTCTTCAAAACTTACCTGCTGCCTCCCGTCGCACAGGTCGAAAGCGTGCTGCTGAGCCTGGCCCACGAGAGCAGAAGCTTGCTCAGAGGCGTACTACCACTGCAAAAAAGCAGCGAAGGCGCTGCAGTCTTTTGCTTCGTTTTGTGCCTCTTCACTGTCGCTGTCGTTCCTCTTGCAGGTGATGCCTTTGCCAGCGCGCTAACCTCTTGCTCTTTTGGCAACAACAAGCTTCCGAATGTTGCGTGCAATGATGTGATTGACTCTTGTTGGAAGTCGTCTATAGCAGACGTAGTCGTTGTAGTACTCTTCGCAGTCGTTAGTAGTAGTAGTAGTAGTAGTAGTGGTAGTAGTAGTAGTCCTGTAATAGTACTGTAGTAGTAGTAGTAGTAGTAGTAGTAGTAGTAGTAGTAGTAGTAGT